TGTTTTTTATTATTAATAGTTTAAACATTATTTGTTTTAATATAAAAATAAATATAAAAATTTTAAATCTGTTTACAGAGGTCAATACTGTCCAAATAGGAAATCAAATATTAATAAAATGACAAGTGAAATGGCTCGGCGGTAACATGCATTGTTAGTGGGGCGTCAAAGGCCACGCGTTTAAGTGAAATGGTCAACGGGGGCGTTAAAACATACACACATAATAATGATCTACCTGTCAATTTTCAATCAAACAAACCCTATAAAATCTAAACCGTGAAAGTTTTAAGAGTCATTTTTATGTTTGTCCTAAGTGGTGAATTGTGGGCAAATGGGTAGGTAAAATATAATAATATTGTTTATACGGTTCTAAATGTCCTGCCAATATTTTTACAAACGGCTCCTTACATTTTGCTGAATTAAGTAGGTATTTTTATTTTGTTAAGGAAGATCTATACCTACTTCAGTACCTTGCAGAGTTTGTGGTGATAAATCTTATGGTAAACATTATGGAGTGTATTGTTGTGATGGTTGTTCTTGTTTTTTCAAGAGGAGCATAAGAAAAAACAATTTATATACATGCATATGTAAGTAATACTTATTAATTCTTATTTTTAAAATTATTGCCGAACAAAAGCCACCTAAACTGTTGGTGGACTTCTTTGTGTATTTTTTATTTTTGCACAGACAATTATTTTTGTTAGGAAAATTTTAAGGTTACTTTTTATTTTATCGCAGCCCTTCTTTGTCTGGATCTCAAGGAATTTTGACTTACTTCGCTCCAAAAGAGTGCTGAGGGCTTTTCAGATTTTAAAATTTCCATCCAGATTAAATAGGGAATGGAATGTTCGGGAAAGTGCTTGCGTGAGGTGGGTCACGTACGCACTGGATATATAAGGCATAGCGGAGCATCGAGTAGTCAGTCAAGCTTTGGTACTTACGACGAAATAAATTAAATATACTTGCAAATAAATAGACTCAGTAGTGATATATAAATAATGGTACTTACGACGAAATAAATTAAATATACTTGCAATTAAATAGACTCAGTAGTAATATATAAATAATTAGTAGTTAGGGGGTGATTGTTAGTTTTATAGTTTCTTAGGCCCGTTATTTCCATTAATAATAATAATAATAATAATTTTATTTCTTATAAATATACACATAAGAATATACACATATTTACAGAAATATAGTCAGAATATACAGATTAACAAATTGGTAGAAATAAATATTAAGGCACATAATTAAAATATTCATCCAGAGTATAGGGTTCTATTTCGATTAAGTATTCCAATATATATTTTTTATACTCTTTAAAACATCTACAATTTTTAATATGTAAAGGTAACTTATTATATGCTTTAATACCAGTATAAAAACATCCTTTTTTAAATATTGCCAATCTATGAGGTGGTATATTCATAACATTGTGTCTGCTATTAATCCTATTGGATAGCTGACTAGAGAAGACATTCCAATTTTTAAAAACAAATATTAAAACTTCATAAATATATACAGCCACAAAAGTTAAAATTCTGCTATACCTAAAAGAAATCCTACACGTTTGGGTAGCATTAAAATTAAGAATTGCTCTAAGTGCTCTTTTTTGAATTAAAAAAACATCATTTGAATTCACACATTGACCCCAAAATATAATACAATATCTTAAAATAGAATTAAAGTTGGCATGGTAAATTGTTTTTAGGACATTCACATCAACATATTTTTTAAGTACATAAATTGTATATACAACTTTACTATAGTTGTGTAAAAAACTTATAAGTTTTTTACACAACTGCATCACATGAGGAGACCAATCAAGGTGTTCATCAAGATGAACACCCAGGAATTTAGTCTCACTCGTAAATGCAATTGGCAAACCCTGAACAAAAAAACTATTAGGGAGTTTTACCTACCACAAGTAAATTTGTATCATCGGCATAGTTCACCATACTCTGACTGGTATTGGTTATATTAGCTGATATATCGTTTACATATATAATGAACAATAAAGGACCTAACACGCTACACTGGGGAATTCCCAACTAAATATTTTCATATTCAGAGTAATAGGCAACTAAGTCCCTTATTATACACACCCTTTGCATTATATTGCTTAAGTAGGATTTGAACCAGTCGAGTGCAATTCCTCTAATACCATACTTGTACAGTTTTAAGTACAGAACTTCATAATTTAGGCAATCATAGGCTTTAGAAAGGTCTAAAAAGATTCCCATTGCACATTCCCGTTTCGAAAGCTTGAAGAATTTTATTCGTAAAATTGAATACTGCCGTGTCAATGGATCTTCCCTTGATGTACCCATGCTGCGTGATGTTAGATAGTGTACATGTTTTAAAGAAACTCACTAGCCTATTACTCATTGATATTTCAAATACCTTTGAAAAAACTGAAAGAAGACTGATAGGTCTGTAATTACCCATTAGAGTGGGATCCCCCTTTTTGAAAATAGGTTTGACCACTGCCAATTTGAGTCTATCAGGAAATATACCGTATAGGAAACTATTATTAATGATATGTGTTAAAGGCTTACAAAACTCAACAGCACACAACCTAACAATACTTGATGGTATTTCATCAACACCACAACTTAGCTTATTTTTTAAATTTAAAATTATATTATGTATTTCATTGCTACAAACATACATTTAAAATTTGTGACTATATTACATTTAAAATTTTACACTATTTTTATTTATGGTGAAATGGGGCAAAATTTGCACGAAACAGAAAGGGTGTTTAATGAAAGGTACCAAAAAAACCCAATTTGCAGGAAATATCTACGGGATTTGGTGGCAAAATTTCAAACAAGTGGAAGTGTGGGTAGGCAGAAAGGATCGGGAAGGAAATCAATTTCCGAAGAGAAACAGGTGCAAATAGTTGGTTCGGTTGTCAATATTCCACAACAATCGACGGCCGCAGTTGCAGAAACTTGTGTTGTATCTCAAACAACTGATAGGAAATATTTAAAAAAGAACAATTTTATCCCTACAAGCTTCAAATACTCCACCAACTAACTGAAGATGACCCTGATTACCGAATGCAATTTTGTGAACTTATGTGTGAGCGCATAGCACAAAATCCACTCTATAAGTTCAATTTGCTTTAGTGATGAATCCACTTTTTTACCAAATGGTACTGTTAATAGACAAAATGTACGCTACTGGTCAGATGTTAATCCACATTTTTTTCGAGAAGGTCACACCCAGTATCCGCAAAAAGTTAATGTATGGGCGGGAATACTGGGAAACCACATCGTAGGCCCCATCTTTTTGGAACAAAATTTGACCGGTATTCTGTATCTTAACATGCTTCAAACCCAAATTCAACCAATGATTGAGGAAATAATCAATACCTATCCTGATGAATTTGACAGAGAAGTCATATTTCAGCAGGATGGAACGCCCCCACATTATTTTAGGGATGTTAGACAATGGCTTGATAAGAGTTACCCAAATTGGTGGATTGGTAGGCGTGGTCCTACCGAATGGCCGGCTCGTTCTCCCGATTTAACGCCACTTGACTTTTTTGTGGGAATATTAAAAATCGAAGAACCGGAAACCATAGATGATCTTAAACACCGGATTGGACGTGAATGTGCTAGTTTTACGCAAGAAACTTTTGCTAATGTTAGAAATGAATTTTAAGATAGGCTATTTGTGTGTCAAGCTGTCCAAGGGGAATATTTCGAACATCTAATTTAAATTTTTCTTAATAAATTAAAACCAAAATAAAACGTGTTTTTAAAAATTTTAAACCTCAATAACTAAGCTATGGTTAAACGGATTTTAAAAACAAAAAAAGTGTTATATAGAGAATTAAAATACCTTTCAAATGAGGTATCACAAGCACCCCCTTTCCATTTAAAATTTTCAAGTTGATACTGCCCTCTTGGCACTTGTTAGGCAAAAAAATTTCATTTTGAAGTCAAAAAGTAGTAAACACAATATAGTTTACCCCGGTTTTTGTCCGACATCGATATCTTATTTAGTTCAAAAGTTAACAGGGGGGGGGGATTTTAAGGCCCTCACTGTATATAAAACTTAAACCAATGGAAACTTAAATATTAGTTAAAAAATCAGATTTAATTAAATATGATAATTATTACCAAAAAAAGTGATAGTTTTATAGAAAAATTATTGAAGAATCGTATACAGAAGAAAAATCGAGAAAAATTGATTTTTTTTCATTACAGCGCCATCTATTACAAATATGAAAGTTATTTGTTTTACAAGTGTTGAAAAGCGACTTTTTCATGCGAGTGTTTAAGTTGCTCACGAGGCCGTGAGGCCGAGTGTGTATTAACACGAGCTTGAAGAAAGCTTTTCTCACAAGTGAAACACAATGTTTTTTCTACGACCCTTTTATTTTTTAATATTTTTAAATACAAAACAAAATAACCTAAAAACGTGTTTGGCAGCTGTTAAAATTACTTTCATCTTATTCTTTTAATTTTTAGGGTATAAGTTACTTAAAATCAATAAACTTAACTTCTCAATTTAAATAAAGGCACAAAAATTAGAATTTATTATACAAACACAATTAATTCTAAATGATATTTAGACACATATACAAATACAATACAAATTTTGAAACGAATGTCAAACGATGCTGTCAATTTCTTTTCACACAGACCTGTCACTTTTCACACAGAAATGTCACTTTACATTCGTGTTTTGCCTTGCCAATGAAAAGATTCATTTTCTAAGTAACAATGCCATTATGAAATGTGACTTTTACCTAGTGGTAAAAAATGTTTTAGACAAAATCTACCTATTTTTAAAGTTTTTTTATTGTGAGGTGTTCTTAGTTGTATAAACAAATATTTTAAAATTAATAAAGCTATTTCTTTTTATACTTCATAGTTCAGCAAAATCAGCACTAACCTATTATTAAAATTAAAAACTTAAAATGAACAATAATATAAAATGTGTATTCATAAAAAGGTACTAATATTATATAAAACTAATTGCAGCTGGGGATGGTAGATGCATCGTGGATAAGCCAAGAAGAAACTGGTGCCCATACTGCAGATTACAAAGATGCTTCTCTGTAGAAATGAACGTAGCAGCTGTACAAGAAGAACGCGGGCCTAGGAAACCCAAATTAAAACCGAAACCAACCGGAATGTTTATTAGAAGGCCTACTCAACTAGAAACATTGCCATATTTTACATTTAGCTCTTCTTTATCTATCGAAGAAACCCTAAAGCATGAAATGGCAGCTCAGATACTTTTGGTAACTATTAAACAAGCAAGGTGTGGCGTAGGGTTTGGTTTGTTGGCCAGAGATTCGCAGAATATTATATTAAGCCGGCTGTGGGCTCCCTTATTTATATTAAGATTAAGTTATTGGCCAATGGATACTTCTAATATTTTACCAAAATTTACAAAAACCATAATGAAAATAAGGGAGCTAAGATTAGATGGGACCGAGTTAGAATTACTAGAAAATTTGTTGCTTTGTAGAAGTGATTTTTTGGAAGGAAAAAATCAAGTTTGTTTGGCTAATTGCATGCTAGATAAATCCTTGGATGGTTTGTTTTTTAAAACATCTCTGGATAGCAAAAGATTTGCTAATATTTTATTAATTTTGCCTTACTTATTTACTTCGAATGCTGAGGATTTGTATTTGTTACTTTTTAAGCCTGTTATCGGTTCAGTGTCTATGGAAACTGTAATATCAACTATATAATAAAGATAAATAATAATAAGTCTGGTATTTTACTTTTATGTAGCTAGATATAAAATAGTTTTTCAATTTCTAAATCGGTATATAGGTATCTTTAATTTGTAGTTTTTCTTCGAGCTACCAAAAGAGCTAAGATGATAATTTTATTCATTGTCACACCCTAAAAGTTTATCATTAATAATTTGCCAATACACAACCATTTAGAAAAAAGTAAAAAAAATGCCCAGTGTTCTTAAAGATTTTTCTATTTATTATGCACAAAAATTAAGGAAAATATCCGCTGTTAAAAGTTTTCCTACCTTGAGATTAGCAGTATTAAAGCCTCATAAATAAAAGTTAAAAAAACCTCTCGATTAGTCAGTCAGCACCATTTTTTTTTAATTTTTGGTTAGGTAAAAATATTTGAAAAAATTCACAGAAAAGTTTTTACTAAAACCATTGGGTGAATATATTGAGATGTCCCCCAAGTGAAAATGATTATTTTTTATTTTTGGTTCTAGTAATAACATAACATAAGTGGTTCTGCACCAATGCAAGAATTTTAACAAATCATACATTTTGAATATTAGAGCTTCACGGAAGATAGCTTCACGGAGGTTAGGATTTCGTATGTTTTTTTAAAACATCCCTTTGTATATTTGAAATAAGTTATTGTATCTTTTGACACCTTAATATTTTTTAAAAATACAACAATTATTGTACAATGTACATACATAAAATATTTATATAAAAATCTACTTACTGAGATATTACACTTCACGGTGAATAAGTTTTAAAATAGCAAATTAATGAACTTAAACTTTTGAATTATAAAACAGCAACACTCTCATCCGCATATAAATTCTAACTGACCTTCAGGAATCACATGCATCTACATATAATGTCGTAAACAGAGGTTTTTGATTATTTAAAACAGATTCACGGAGGATAGAATCAATTTTTGTAACATGTACAAGTAAATGGTTATAAAAATTATTTCTTTAAATTTTTAATATTATTTGATTCGATTGCTTTGGATGTGTTTAATTTACTTAGTGAACTGATATTTTTAGTATTCTTTTACTACCTCAGATATTTGAAAACATTTAGATTAACCTAGAAAGAGTAACAATCACTGAGGATAGGTTTTAGACTATTAAAACATTGTAAAAAATAATTAATTTCGTTTAAAAATCTGGAACCTGAGCTGTAATATCTACTTAATTAAAAAGAGTAGGTCAAACTCATTTAGTTTTATTAAATATCACGGGGTAACACCATCGGGGGACATTTCGTGAGATTCACCCATATGTAAAAGTATAAAAAAAGATACATAAAAATATGAAATTATTTTATTCTTAATATAGGTACAGATAAAATGATGCCTGGTTAAATTTAAAATAAAAAACGTTAATAAACATATTTAAACCTTCAACATTTAATATAGACAAATCGACATCAAAGCCGTAGCCAAGGGGGGATTAGGGTGTTTAAACTTTTCCCCAAAATTTCTGTAATTTAAATTTAAAAACATATTAAAATAGAAATTGTATGGAGCAAGATACTTTCTAAGGTTATTAATATATTTGCAGAAAAGAAAGTCAAAATATACATATAATATATTAACTTGAAGTTTGAAATATCTCCTAATGTTTAAGTTTCCTTTGGTTTAAGTTTTATCCATTATTTTATTCGGTGATAATTATCAATCCGTTAATTTAAAGGATTATTGTATTTAGTTATAAATAATAATTATTATTGAGGTTTCTAGTTTAGCATTATTTAATCAATTTAGTTCGAAAATTAATTTGCAAACAAAAAGACCTCCTTTTGTTAAGCAGTTATTCATAATGAATTTTTTAACGGTGGAAGAAAAAATAGAAATGATTTTGATTTATGGAGAAGCAGGTAGGAATCTTGATGATGCTGTTAATATCTACGCTCAGCGTTTTCCAGAAAAAATTCGATCACGTACTTCATTTCACCGTACAGTCAAGCAGTTTACTACAAACGGGAGTGTTGAACCGAAAAAAAGAGTTCGTTGAGCAAATATTTAATATTGTTATTTTGAGCACCTAATTTAGTTAAATTTTATAAAATAGATAAATTTAAAAAAAGCCAAGTGTTTTATTTGAAAATTATTGAAGAATCGTATACAGAAGAAAAATCGAACAAAATTGATTTTTTTATCTATTACAAATATGAAAAAAAAATTAGACAAAATCCACCTATTTTTAGTTGAATGATCCGAATCTGCAATAAAAAATTAAGTGTTCCTTTGGAAATTTTAAAGTTACCCCCTGTTTCCCCTTTAAGGAGGAGAGTATGAGGACCAATTTAAGTACTGATTGATTTCATTCCTCGAATCATTTAATTTTTATTTTAAACATTTTTTCGTAAAATGCATACTAACTGAGATATTTCAAAGTTTCAAGTATATACGAGGTGTGTTCAGAAAATAACGGAAAATGTTAAATTTCGCGGGTTCGGAAGGTCCGGTTGTCATACAATTTTCTTTATTATGTTGGTATACATTCCCCCGAAGTATGATAAAAACTTTAGCTGTTTTCATTGTTTACTTTGTCTGTGGCAGCCGCAAAGGTTAGACGTGTTTTATGAGCTCGGCGATTTTTCGTTCGTTAAAAGAAATGGAACAAAGAATTTGTATCCAATTTTGCTTAAAAAATGAAATAAATTCTGTGAAATGTTAACAAAGGCCTATAGTGAGTCTGCTATAGGTAAAACAAGAGTTTACAAGTGGTATAAGAGTTTCCAAGATGGCCGTGAAGACGTTGAAGATGACGAACGCCCCGAACGCACAAGCACATTAACAACCGATGAAAACATGGAAAAAGTGGAAGAAATGGTTGTAAACCATCAGAGAAGTCGCTGATGATGTTGGTATATCGATTGGCTCATCCCATGAAACTTTTTTGAATGTTTTGGGTATGAAACGCGTGGCAGAAAAATTTTTTCTAAAATTGTTAAATTTTAAACAAAATTTTTGGGCAAAAACAATACTGTAATGATGCCCCAGCCTCCATATTCGCCAGACATGCCTCTGTCTGACTTTTTCCTATTCCCAAAAATAAAGAGAACCTTAAAGCGCCGTCGTTTTGCAAGCATAGATGACATTAAAAGCGCATCGCTGAAAGAACTAAAGGCTATCCCAGTTTTAGAAGTGTTTCGAGTATTGGAAGAAGAGCTGGCACATGTGCATAATATCCAATGGGGACTATTTTGAAGGCGACAACATTAATGTAGACGAATAAATAAATATTTAGTTCAAACAACGAAAATTCTCGATATTTTCTGAACACACCTCGTATATTTATGAAATGCCTTTTATACAATTTATACTGAATCTGTATTTTATGGCACCAATCCTCCCCCCGAAAATATTTTCTAGCTAAGGCCTTGATCGACATAGAAATAAAAATTACATAATATTAATAAAGTGTGTTTCTAAGACATCTACTTAAAGTATTTGACATTTACTACAAAACATGATTTTACGTACCTACTTTAATATATCAACATTTAAACTATAAAAATTACAGTCGAATAGATGTAAAGTCTAGTCTTTTAAAAGGACACCTTTAGTAAGTAAATTGCTTATCATTCAGGAATGATGAAAATTCGTGATTTAGAAAATATGACAAAAATAAAACAGGTTATTAAGGTAATACAATGGTTTGTAAAATATTAAAACTAAAAGAGGTAGACTCAGCTAATTACAAATATTAAGACATCTTAGATAAAAAGGAATGTTTTAATTTTGTATTCAATCTATTTTATTTAACAGTCTATCAAGAATGATATATGTAGGTACTTTATATTATTAGTTATTGTATTGTTGCCACTTTAAAATATTTTTTTTTTACCTTAATGGTTTAGAAAAAGTAGAGAATGTATTTTTATATGTTTTATGTCCCTCAGAGCCGAAGCTTTACGTTTTATAGTTATTTATGGTAATAGTGTTTATGTGGATAATAGTGACTTAGGAAACATAACACACGAGTGGCATACAATGTTTTATCCAACAAGTGGAAGAAATCGTTTTTTTATGAGATAATAATTAATAAGCTTTGTGATCAAATCAAAGCTATAGTAAATTTAAAAGTAAACTACGTACACGTCATCAATAAAACAAAAATTGTACGCATTGGTACCAACACTAAATGACTAAATCGAAGTCTGTAATTGAATATTTGAATGCATTTTAAACATCTTCAGTTGGCAACAATTAAAATGTTGTCATATTTACATTCAAATATTTCATATTTAAATGACACATAAAAAAGAATTTGACGTTTTAGAATTTCAAAGCTGTCAGTTGTGTTTTTGAATATTTCGTTTAATTCGTGTATTATTTCGTTTATTTTGTTTGGTGTTTGTGTTATTTTATATCGTTTAAGTTTTCATTGCCGTTTTTGTGTTTCCTATATTTAAAATGCCGAAGCATTTAAATAGTCGGAGTCAAGAGTTGGTGTCACCCTTAATACGCTATTTTGAGGCAGAACGGGATAATAATGGACCTTTGTTACCTTTAACAGCTGTTAGAGAGGTAAATAGGATTATTATTAATTTTTTATTAGAATATTTAACAAAATAAATGTTGGATACATAAAATAATAATAAATATACCAGAGACTGACTTTAGATGGCAAAATTTTTGGGTTTTATATCAGAAAATGTCTTTAAAAATGGCTAAAAACATACTTTTGGCGGTGCATCATATAGGTTATAAAAACTCCCACTTTTTGGTATTATTCATGTAAACGCCATCTATCGCCCTGTAGTTGCACTACCACTTTCCCTTGATGCAAGGATTTTAGCATCACATTGACAACCGTGCCCGATCATCTGATTGATGACGTGTACGTAGTTTACTTTTAAATTTACTATACTTGCGTCTCAGTATCTTATAAATGTCAGAATGACTTGACAGTGACTTTTTTACATTTTGGTCAAAGTATCTTATTTGTTTGGTTGCCACGGGTATGATACATTGTTAGCAAATGTTTAAATCATGGTTTTTCTATGGTTTAAATACATTTTGACACTTGTCAGTTTTCCCTGCAGAAAAGGGAAGCTGTTTTGAAGAAAAAAACGTATAGAAAATGGAGGAAACCGATGAAAATTACGTTTCTGAAGATATCCTTACGGAAGCGGAAGAAGCAGCGATGCAGATTTTGCCAGAAAAGTCCCGAGATGCTTACGACAGGGAGTTCAAAATGTTTGAGTCTTAGATGAATTCATGGAAGATAAAAGGTATCGATGAAAATATACATTTGCAAAAAAAATTAGCCCATCGTCGCTATGGACCAAATACTCGATGCTTTGCTCGACTATTCACCTTTATAAAAAAAATGACATTTCAAAATATGGCAAACAACGAGCTTTTTAAAAAGCAAATCACAGGGATACAAACCAAAGGAGTCCAAGATATTAGAACGACCTGAAATAGAGAAGTTTTTGAACGAAGCTTCCGACCTGTTGATGAAAGTGGCTTTGATAATGGGGATTAGCGGTGCTTGTAGATGCGATGAATTGGTCAATTTGAAAATAAGAAAGTTTCAAGACAAAGGGAAATATTTTCACGTAGGTAGACACTAAAACCAAGAAATTGAGAAGTTTCACCATACTTGAAGAAGAATTTCCAGTCAACCCGATCAATTTGTGTAAAAAATACATGTCTTTAAGACCAAAGAATACTAGTTTTAGCCGATTTATGTTTTTTTACAAAAATGGGAGGTGTACCAACCAGTGTGTGGGAATAAATACGTTGTCGAAGATACCTTCAAGAATTGCAATGTTTTTGAAATTGGAGGAACCAGCGCTCTACACCGGTCACTGCCTGAGAAGGTCTTCGGCGACTCTTTTGGCCAATGCAGGGGCTAACACGACTACTTTGAAGCGTCTCGGAGGATGGAAGTCCTCGACGGTATCAGAAGGATACCCAGAAGAATCGGTGCATAACAAAATACACATTGCAGAAAAAATTCAAGGTTCTAATGCATCGGCGTCTTCCAGCACTATCAGCAGCTGTACCGATATGGGAGCGTCTGGTTCCAATGAACCAACGAATTTTACAATGACTTCAAATTCGAATAAACCGTTAGCGTTTTCCTTTAATTTTAATTTCAATGTGAATTCTGCTTGTAATAGTAATAAATAAATAGAATACTACTTTAAATGAACTAGAGTGCAATTTGATAGTTTTGAAATAGTCTAAAATGATATTAATAATGACAGTCATAACTGTCATGTGTTGGATATAATATTTTATCCACGACTACCTTATAATATATACTTTATAAATAAGTTTTCTAAAGCAAAATGATAGTCATATTTCACAGAGTGAATAATAGCAGTGAATAATCATTATTCACTGGTCAAGAGTTCCTATAGGACACACGATATAGATTGTATCTGACAAGCACTTATAAGTTCGTCTAGGCAATTATAGCCAGGCACTTTAATTATCTAACTTTATACCAATCATAAAAGTCTTGTTAAAGTATTACTTTAATATGTTTTTTTAAGGCAATTGAATAAAAATTTAACATTAAGTAGACTATTTCAAGTAAGTAAGCCATTGACATGACATGACAAGCTTAGCATAAATTGCTGTCAATTTGAAACGTCATAACTTCGATTCAGCACACGATTTTTGTTACAAATTATTATTAATCTTAAATTATACATAAAAAATCAAAGCGTGAAAGATGAAGAGATGTTACGCACTCAACAAAACATCACAGAAGTCACTTTTCGAAATACGAATTACCTAAAAAATCACATTTATTGGAAATAAAATACTGCATAATCTATAAATAATAGAATTATCAAGTAGGTAGTAAGCCATGTAATCAACTGACAACTAATAATTATTTGAAACGTCAAATTTTAACGACGCGGTGGTGCAATAATAATTTCTGTTAAAATTATAATTTGCTTTCAAAAATACGTTAACAATGGAAATTTATAGTAAAGAAGATATATTGTGTACTCCACCGGAGATAACAGAAGCTGCAAAAGTCACTTCCCTGAATTTGTTGCCTGAGAAATCCCAAAATTTGTACGTATCTGTGTACAACACCTTTATGGACTGGAGAGCGACCAAGAAAATTAATTCATTCTCAAAGTCTGTTTTACTGGTATATTTTATATATATATATATATATATATATATATATATTACAATTAATATAAATAAATAGTTTTAAAAATAGTCACAGGCATCTTTAATTTTTGGTTTTGTTAATGTCAAATAGGTTATAATAAATATAAATTTTTTTGCATTAAAATCCGTTAAAAGTCAATAGTAGTCGTGGACAAAGCATAGTATTCTACTAACATATAATGAGCTATTATTCACTCAGGTTAATTATGCCACTCGCTACGCTCGTGACATAAACTTAACCTTCGTGAATAATAGCCCTCATTATATGCTCGTATAATAATATACTATAAACGGCTTCTTCAAAATCAGTTTTTTGGACATGCCTTTTGGCTCTGAGGTACATAAATGTATCTATCACTATATCACTAATAGGACACCATCAATAAAATATTGTTATATTTGCTTTAAATATTAAACATTTAGGTATTTGACATTTAAATTTTAACTTTTAAATATATTTTGCTACAAAAATTAAAAAATATCACAAAATTAGTAGGTAAGTAAATATTATTTAAAAAAAATAGTCGAAATAAATATAAATTTACGAATTGTGGCAACAATCTCATTTACATTTTAAAAATACACACTATGATAGACTTTTTTAAGATATCTTTTTTATTAAAATACCTTATAAAATATATAGATTTAAATAACATTAATATATCTTTGCTGTTATTCTAAATTATAGAAAAAATAAACTACTGATAACTAAATCTAAAACTTTGATTGAGGTAAAATTTTAAAAACTCTTTAAACTACACTTTTATGTTGAATCTTGTTTAAAGAGTTATTAAAAGCAAATAAAACTACTGATCAAGAATGCTAAACATTGATTGTCTCTATAAATATTATTGTTTCACGTCATTCCTTCATTTATTTTGTTGCCCAAGTGGCAACTTGATGTTCGTGAGTTTGGTTAATGTAACAACGAGTCAACTGATATTGACAGGGTACATTGAAGCTGAGTTGGCGACGAAACGTTTGCCGGAACCTCCTCGATTTTTTCCAAATCAGCTGCACCGGCTGAGTTCTGTTTGCAAAGTTTGGAATTCATCTGAAAGGGAGAAAATCTTTTATTTATACAGATAAAATCAAAACACTTTTACTGCCTAATATATTATAAAGGTAAAATTGTATTATTTAAAGAGGTTTGAGATAAAATACATTAAGTTTAAAAAAAATTAAAATTATTTTGGCATGTTTTTTTAACACTTGTTATTGTAATTTTAGAGTTTCAGGTATATAAAAAATTTGATTTTAATTTTTTTTTTAAATTATAAATATTTTATTGTGGCCAAAGAAACTTTTCAAAAAAAAAATAAAACTTGGCATACTTTAACCTCATAATTAGGGATGGGATTTTAGTTATTTTACCTTTTTTCAGCCGATGTAACTATTTGAAAACCAATAATGCCAAATTGTGTTTTAAAAGATTTTCTTTTATATTAACCTAACTTGTTTTCACTTTTTTTACCTTTTTTGGAGGTTTTTGCTTTAAACTACCTTTTTTATACTTTTGTTACATATTTTTTAATTTGTCAGTTTATTTTCACCTATTTGTTACCTATTTTTACGTATTTTTACTTATTTTATTTTTTTTGTGCTCTTTTTAAATTTTGCGCCAATATTTTATCCAGGGCGTGCAACTCAACGGTATAGAATTTTTTCTTATGGTCACAGACTGTAACAGTAACTTTCTTTACAGTTACCTTCTTTGTAGTGAGCTTATGTTCTGTCATAGAACTTCTGTGTATTGAGTGTCACTCAGTGAAACACAGTTTATTGCATATAAATAGTTTATTGTGGGTATGTTCTGTGTTTGGGTATGCGGCTAAACAAAATTATAAACGAAACTTGAACTTTTAATGTTTTTTTTTACCTAAAATGCTGTTTTTTTTAACCTAAAATGCTTTTTTTAGTACCTTTTTAACTACCTATTTTTCAGTTTTTAGTACCTAAATATCCCATCTCTACTCATAATATTTTTACAGAATTTTAAATATTATAATTTTAAAGTAGATAATTTGTTTTTTATTTTTAAATTAAAATCAACTATTTTTTTTTTAAAGTATATCGAAAATATGGTTTGGGGTGACAAAAAAATATATTGTGAAAGTTTGAGTCCATAATATTAATATTAAGAGGTCTATCATCGCAATTTTATTTTTTTTTTCCTCAGCAAGTTTTAGGCTCTGAACTCCCAAACCATTGAGTTTAACAATATTGACTTAAAAATATTTTTTTAAGAAAATTAAATGCTCTACAAAAAAGGTAAAGTAAAATTTTCCGTCAGATGAACCGTTTCCTTAAAATCATGCCTTAAAAATTGGTATAGTTTTACATTTTGATCTTTTAATTTTGGAATTTTGTAATTCATGTAAAAATCAGTACCCATAAAAAACCGATAAATATTCTTATGGGAAATCAAATGCTTTACAAAAAAAGCCTCTTAACATTTTTGGCTAAATTCACTCAATCAAAAGTTATTCAAGGTTAAAATTTCGTTTTGACTTCAAATTTAACCTTGAATAACTTTTGATGGAGAGAATTTAGCCAAAAATGATAAAAGACTTTTTTTGTAGAGCATTTGATTTCCCATAAGAATATTTATTATTTTTTTTTCAGGGTACTGATTTTTACTTGAATTACAAAATTCCAAAGTTAAAAGATCAAATTGTAAAACTATACCAATTTTTAAGGCATGATTGTAAGAAAAGGGTTCAACTGACGGGAAATTCCAATCAAACCTTTTTTGTAGACCATTCAATGTTCTTCAAAAAATAATAATATTTATTGTATTTTCTGAGAACATTTACCATAGTAATGTATATTTTTTTTACACCATCAGAAAGTAGAGAGTTCATCGAAAAAAAAGCACACCGACTTTTTGAAAAAAGCTGATATTTTGACGCGAGAATTTTCGATTGAAAATTAGGGTGCTTTTTTGATATTAAGTCAAAATAAGGCGAAATAATAAATATTTCAAATCAAATAAATTACTGTGTATTTGGGACATAAAAAGGTAAATTTTCACCAAATTTCGTGGAAAAAAAATTTTTTTTGAAAAAGATAAAAATAAAAAACCAAAAACTTGTTTTTTTGAATTTTTCACATAAATTTTGAGGTTATGTGAAAAAATTGTAAATACAAAAGTTGTACATCTTTTTATTACCTACAACTTTGACATTTAACTTTTTTCCATAGGACTTGTAGTTTTGCCGGAAATCGAGATAAACCATTTTTTACCCTTAAACCCCCCCCCTCCCACTTTCCGAACTCAGATCGCCCGTAATTTATTTTTCCTTTAATTTTTATTATATTCCACTCCTTTTCCAATGGGTTTCATCCTACTGTTATTTTTTTTCTCTTTTTACCATTTTTAAAGGCTTCTGCACTGGTCTATTTTACAGTCTATCCATGTCATTTACGCAATGTTTTGTCAACATTTCAGCAGTTTAGGTCCACCGGTTTGGGCGTTAACAAATCTATCTATGTACGAGTATAATAAACATGAATAGATTATTATAAAAGGTTACAAAAAAATACCTATTTCGTTTGAAAAATTAATAATAACGCTTGACTAACCTTACTAACCAATTATTATTTTTAAATACTTTTTAAACGCCATTTTAGTTACAAGTTTTATTAGGCAAGAGCGAGTGTTTAATAAAATCGAGTGTCTAGAAAAGTTTATAAAAAGAGTTGCATGCTATATTTTATCTACGACGAACAGAAACAAGAATTTAAAGCTAATTTTAATTTTTAAATATTTGACATTTGATAAATTTAACCTCACTTTTTTTCAATTTATAATATAGCTAAATTTAGCACGTGACTAAAATGCCCAAAAGCCACTGTTGTTAACTTTAGCCCGTGACTAAAACGTCATAGAGTACATAAAGTACATTTGTTCCAAAATATTGACTAAATATTGTCATAAATGGCGAATTCACTGGGATTAAATAATACAAGTGTCCCATAAAATACAAAATAGCGTGATTGTAAAATATAATAAAACAAGTCAATAAAAGTTCAAGCTTCTTAATCGCAATTTGTATACTTATGGGATTTTGCAAGCTTTAAAATATAGCGAAACTCATAAGGTTTCTGTAACTAGCATGTTTCCATTATATTATAAAATTGTCGTGCTCGTAATTTACTTTTTTAAACTTAGTTTGCATGCAACTTAAAATGATGTAGATATGCGTAAATTTAAACTTTATAATTTTATTGATATTTTGTATTAAATATCTTTCATTTAAGAAAAATATTAAATATGAAATGTTATTTAATTTACTGTTACACATACAGTGTGACCCATTTGTTTGCGACTCACCAGTGTAAAATCTTCATTTATTGTGCGATTTTAACCGCATTTGTTTTAAAGTGTAGATCTTGATAAACTGTATTTTTGAAGCAAAAAACGCCATATTTTTACAAAATACAAGGCCTACTATGTTAGTTTTTATGAGTAAATTTTTAAGATTTCATATAAGCGATTTTTTTAAACAAAATCTAAGCACGGCACTGGATTCACTACCCCTCAAAACGGAACTTTACTAAATTTTATTGAAAAATTTTAAGTAGAAAAATGCACAATAATAACTACAAAAATTTATTCTGTCAAGTTATCCATGAAAAAAACATTGAAATAAAATGAAACTTATAGTAATAGTACCATGTTAATATTAGTTTAATTTTATTTCAATGTTTTTTTCATGGATAACTTGACAAAATAAATTTTTGTTGTTATTATTGTGCATTTTTCTACTTAAAATTTTTCAATAAAATTTAGTATAGTGTCGTTTTGAGGTGTGGTGAATCCAGTGCCGTGTTTAGATTTTGTTTTAAAAAATCGCTAATATGAATTCTTAAAAATTTACTCTTAAAAACTGACATAGTAGGCCTTGTATTTTGTATTAATATGGCGTCTTTTGCTCCAAAAATAGAGTTTATCAAGATCTACACTTTAAAACCCATCGGGTTAATATCGCACAATAAATAAAGATTTTATAGGGGTGAGTCGCAAACAAATGGGTCACACTGTATATAAACACAAAAGGTACATTTGACAATTAGAACCGAATTTAATTACTTAATAATTATACCGGATTCTAGGTATACTGGAAAATATTATGTAAACGAAAAATAAGAGAATAATTTATTAATATGTTTATTAAAATATTAAAATTTTAGTCGAATTTAACTTAATTTATTTACACTATGATAGTTTTACAAACATTAAGTACTCGAGCTTAGTTTAACTAAATTTGTGCCGCTGATTTCAAAAGTCATTAGTTTTTCTCTAGGACGTCTAGGATTTAAAATAATTTCGTAAAAAATGCTCTGCTCAATCACCTCAAAATGTAGGTTTTTTGTTGGTATTATTATTATTTTGGCTTAAATTTATCTTGAATGTGCTAAAGTATACGGCAAATAGATCATGTTGCCATTTACAAAATTTGTATCCGCTGTATATTTTTATTTTTATTAAAATCAAAATCAAAATTAAAATTAAAATCAAAATCAAAATCAAAATCAAAATCAAAATCAAAATCAAAATCAAAATCAAAATCAAAATCAAAATCAAAATCAAAATCAAAATCAAAATCAAAATCAAAATCAAAATCAAAATCAAAATCAAAATCAAAATCAAAATCAAAATCAAAATCAAAATCAAAATCAAAATCAAAATCAAAATCAAAATCAAAATCAAAATCAAAATCAAAATCAAAATCAAAATCAAAATCAAAATCAAAATCAAAATCAAAATCAAAATCAAAATCAAAATCAAAATCAAAATCAAAATCAAAATCAAAATCAAAATCAAAATCAAAATCAAAATCAAAATCAAAATCAAAATCAAAATCAAAATCAAAATCAAAATCAAAATCAAAATCAAAATCAAAATCAAAATCAAAATCAGAATCAAAATCAAAATCAGAATCAGAATCAGAATCAGAATCAGAATCAAAATCAAAATCAAAATCAGAATCAGAATCAGAATCAAAATCAAAATATTTAACAGTTAACTAGATATCGTACAAAAGAAGA